TGAGCAGGTGGTGACCAGGAAGGAAGCACTGCCATCCCTAGCCCAAGGATAGACAAGAGCACCCCGGGGCATTTGCTGGGACTCTGCTGGACAGCACACCACCCGATGACGTGTCAGGACTGAGTTGGCACCACCTCTGAGCCCCACAGGAGCCCACAGCCCGGGGCACAAGGACACTTGAGTGCAGGAGCACGCTGGCAGGGCGGGCAGGGCAGCCAGGGGTGCATCACGGTATCTTCTGTCGGGCGGACTGGACCTCTGTTATCTGTGTTTCTCCTGGGATGGATGGGCGTCTGGTGGGATGGGCCAAGGTGCCCAGATTCCAGGAAGCTTTATTTCTATAAAGCCATCACTGGGTGACCCAGGAAGGGCTGGTGGGAGGGGCAGGGCAGGGAGGGGCAGGGACGGGCTCCCTGGCTTTGAAGTCCAGTCCATCTGGCTTCTAACTCCAAGTTAGCCAGCGTGCAGAGCCTCGGTTTCCTGGTCTGTAAAATGGGGACGGTCGCCTCAACTGGAGTGACCAGGCGGGAGCCAGTCATCAGCTCGGGCAAGTGCTGACTTGGTCTTTCCCTGCAGACCTACCCCGGAGACCGAGACCCAAAGCTGGGGCAGGGAGAGAATGTCTTGGCAACTGATGGTGTTAGGACCATCATGTGGCCGGGGGTGTGGCCACTGCACGGCCAGATGGGGGCCCGGAGGGGGAGCCCCCCTCCCTTGGTGGGCAACTCCAGGGCTGGCTTCCTCCTGGAGAGGAGACTGGAGGCTGGATGGAGGGAGGGCAGGCAGCACAGGGAACCTGGCTTACAGGGGTGGCCGGACGCTGAGGTGGGTAGGAGAGCCCGGGGCTGTCTTGGCAGAGCGTGCCTGGGCTGCGTGTGGTCAGATCTCCTGATGGGCGTGCCGTGGGGGCCCGGTGCCATCCCTGCCACCTGTAAATAAAACAGCCTGTGAATCTTTCATGGGCTTGTGCTTAAAAATAGATGAGGTGCGGCCTCCGGGCCCATTCCTGGGCCTCTGCAGGCGGGTGGGGCTGCCCACACATCCCCAGGGTGGCTGGGAGGCCGGCAGGGCAGTGCTGGCAGGCGGGGACACGTGGCCTCAGACACGAGATGTCGATCCTCTGGAGCTCCGGGATCACAGGCCGGGGTGGGCAGCAGAGTGACACCCTTGTGATCCTCCTCCCGAGAGGGTTTTAGGGCTGGGACACGGTGGGGAGGGGGCACACAGAGAGGCACCAGAGACAGAGGGAGGCTGCTGGCAGGTCCTTCTCTGCACCAGCCCCTCGCCTGCCCAGAGGAGGTGTGCTCCATGTATGGTCTCCCGAACCCGTGACACAGGTGTCCAAGGCATGCATGTTAGGCAGGAGCTAGGGACAAGAGAGGAGTAGGAAGTGTCAGAGTGGAGTCAGCTTTCCTGCTTCTAACATCCCACAACCCAGAGTGCCGATAGGTGGTCTGTGATCGCTCAGAGGACGAGGGGCCATGCCTGGGTCCTGGCCCGTGAGAGAGGCTTGGTACAGAGGTGAGGAGTCCGGGGTTGCAGCCCTGAGTGATCTCAGGCCAGCTCTGCCTCTCTGACCTCAGTTTCCAATCTGATCAAAGGGGATAAAGACATGGTGCCTCGGGGCACACGGTGATGAAATGACCCAGCCTGGTGAGGCATGCGCGGGTGGTGGTGGCAGAGATGCCAGGCCCATCGGCAGAGCGTCCCAGGCCTCGGGCCACCTGACCCCTGGCCCAGCTGGCATCCCCGGCTCTGTCAGCTGCACTGGCTGCTTCCAAACCCGAACAGGGCTGGGATGGAGGCCTGGAGGTGGCCCTCAGCCTCACCCCCTGGCATCTGCAGCTGGCCGAGGGGCCACAGCTCAGGCCCAGGGCCTGGGAGGTGTCCTGCCGGGCCTGCACCTGCTACGACCTTTGTCCTGACCTCTCACCCTTGACATGAGAGGCAGCAGGAGCACTGGAGATGGGATGGGTTGGGGAGCCCTCTCCTTGGTAAAGGTCCCCTCCTCCCCCACCCTAGAGTGGCCGGGCTTGGAGAAGCTGACGCCGCTCGAGTGGCAGGGCCGCAGTCCAAGAGAGCGGGACAGGGGGCAGAGAGGGGTGTGGAGGGAAGGGACCGGGCTCTGGTCTGCAGTCACTGTTGATCCCCTCACCCTTGCCCTCAATCCCTGCCTGCCCGAGTCCTCAAGAGTGGCCTGTGTCCCCCGGGGCCAGCCGGTTGCCTAAAAGCCCTGCTCCCTGCGGCTCTGCCCATGTGCCCTGCCTGTGATGGGGTCATAAGGGCTCTGACAGCACCCACCATGCGCTTCAGCAAACCTGCTCTGGGGGCTCAGATTCCCCCACTTTTGGGAGCAAGTTTTCACTTTCTGGCAGGGTGGAAGGTTAGTTCGACTTTGCAGTCAAAGTCGAGGCCTGAGTGCCAGACCTAGGCAGGCCCCTGTTCCTCCGAGGCCGCTGTCCTCTGTCACATGGGAGGGGCAGCAGGACCTGGGGAGGAGCATCCTTTAGTGTCTCCGTGGCACTCTGCTGTGGCACACCTGCTGAGCCTCCTGACACTGGGTCCTTCTGCCAGGTTTCCTCGGCCCACTGTGCTTCTCAGGCTTGGAGCCACACTCCCAGGGTGACCCTGGGCGGCTACACAGTTTCCAGGGAGTGAGTCCAGAAGAGACCGAGGTGGACCTGATGTCTTGTCCTCCTCCAAGCCAGGCCTGGCCTGGGCTGTGGGACCCTGTCCTGCCTGGCCTGGCCCCTGCGGGCATAGGCAGTGGCTTCCCGTCCCCCGTGGCCTAAACATTGGTTCACTTCCTGGTGAGTTAATGAATGACTGAAGGAATGAAGGCGTCCTCCTTGCGAGTAGTCCAGAGTGGGGGCCTGGGCTATGGAGGCTGCCAGCTCTCAGATGGCGCGGCAGCTCGAGGGTGGAAGCCATTGGGCTGAGCCCGGTGCCCACAGAAACGGATAGGCCAAGGGACCCTGGAGGTCACCGGGAAGGAGCTGCCCGTGGGAAAGTTGGGCTAGCTTCTCCGGGAAAGCTGAGTGGCCAGGGCTCGTGTCCAGACATGACATTGCGACAGTTACTGAACAGCTGGGATGCGGCCAACCTGCACTGGGCCAGTGTCTCTGTCACAATAGAGTCAGGGTCTCTGTTACCCAGGCCAGAGGACAGTGGCACGATCAAGGCTCACTGTAGCCTCTACTTGCTGGGCTGAGAGGGCATCCTCTCAACTCAGCCTCCCGAGTAGTCGGGACTACAGGCACCACCACTCCTGGCTAATTTTTTTATTTTATTATTTTTATTTTTTTGAGTTAGAGTCTCACTTTTATCGCTCAGGCTGGAGGGCAGCGGCATGCTCACGGCCACCGCAGCCTTGACCTGCTGGGCTTAGACGATCCTTCCGCCTCAGTCTTCCAGGTAGCTGGAACTAGAGACACACGCCATCATACTCGACTAATTTTTTGATTTATTGTGGAGATGAGGTCTCACCAAATTGCCCAGGCTGGTCTTGACCCCCCCGGTCTCAGACAAGCCTCTCGCCTCGGCCTCCCAAAGTGCTGGGATTATAGGCTGAGCCACCGCGCCCAGCCAACTTTTTTGTTTTTCGTACAGATGAGGTTTCGCGATGTTGCCCAGGCTGATCTCAAAATCCTGGGCTCAATCGATCCCCCTGCCTTGGTTCCCCAAAGTGCTGGTATTACAGGTGTGAGCCACCACACCCGGCGTGTCCCTTTTGTCTGTCTCTCCCTTCCTGTTTTCTTCTTTTCAATTCCAGAAGGTTGGGGTGTCTGAGCTTGCCTCTACCTGTCCCCCTCCCATGTGGGCACACAGCTCACTCAAACGAGAGGGGCAAGGAGGAGTGTCCCAGGGGCGGAAAAGTGACTCGGGGCTCCTGCCCTGTCAGAGACCCAGTTAAATGCCAGGAGGATTCATGACTTAAATGGAACCAAGGAAACCCCAGCAGGAGCACACAGGCCATAGTGGGAGGGGGTGGCTGGCAGGCCGACAGGAGGGCAGCCCCTTGGGTAAAGGGGGAGGCAGAGAGGCTGCCCAGGACCTCACGGCTCAGCTGTGCACGTTGGACACTGAACAAGTCTAGTGGTGTCAGCAACATCCCTCCTGGAGTGAGCCAACCCAGGTCTCTGGCTTTTGACCCTTACCACACCCTTCACTACCTGCAGGCCTCCAAACAGGAGTGAGTGGAAGTGAGTGGAAGTGAGTGGGCCAGGTGAATGCTCCTGTCTCTGAGTAAGAGTTAAGAGGCAAGGTCCAGGAACCCAGCCCCACTGCCCCACCCTGCCCCACCTGAAGAGGCATCTGAGTCACCCCCTAGGGCCGGTGTGGCCAACTGGTGACCCAGCCGGCTTCCAGAGTGACCGGGCTAATGAGCTCAGAGCAGGAGTGGTGGCCCCACCCCTGCTCTTGCCAGATTTAGCAAATAAAAACGCAGGACCGGGCTCGGCGGCTCAGTCTGTAATCCCGCGCCTTTGGGAGGCTGAGGTGAGTGGATTGCCTGAGCCCGCGGGTTCGAGACCCGCCTGGGCAGCGAGACCTCACCTCTACAATAAATCAAAAAATCAGCCGGGCGTGGTAGCGCATGCCTGTAATTCCGGCTACTGGGAAGGCTGAGGCGGAAGGATCGCCGGAGCCCAGCAGGTCCAGGCTGCAGTGGCCGGGAGCGGCCACTGCACTCCAGTCTGGGGGGCAGAGTGAGACTCCGACTCAAAAACAAACAAACAAAAAAAACCAAAACAGGACTCCAGGTTAGATTCGAATTTCAGATAAACAAGGAATAATTTTTTCAGCCTGGGCAATACAAGACTTTTTCTCTACAAAAAAAAAAAAAAAATTAGCTGAGCATGGTGGCATAGGACTGTAGGACTTGTAGTCCCAGCTTACTCGGGAGGCTGAGGCAGGAGGATCACCTGAGCCAGGAGATCGAGGCTGGGGTGAACAGTGATGGTGCCACTGCACTCCAGTCTGGGTGGCAGAGTGAAACCCCGACTCAAAAAAAAAATGGTATTTGTTGCTCATGTGAGGTTCAAGCCTAAGGGGGGCATCTGGTATTTTGTCTAGAGACTGGGCCAAGTACCCCAAGCTCACCCCTGAATTCTCTGGCCAGCCGGCCTCTGCCAAGGGCTGGACAGCACTGCCCTCTAGTGGAAAGCACGAGCCTCGGGAGGGTGGAGGGCAGGTCCCAGCCCAGGGCAGAGGGAAGGCGGCAAACCAAGAACACCCTGCGAGCCTTGAGGCTGCCCCGTGGGCACTTGCTGTGCTGTGGGCTTCCCCATAACCCCACTGAGTTCTCCCCTCAGGGTGCTGGGCCCATGTTGTCACTGTCTGGGGAATCTGGGGCGGGTTGGATGTGTGTGGCCCGACAGGTTGTGCAGCCTGTTCGTGCCTGCGGCATCCTTGCCCAGGCGCCTGGTCACTGGGTTTGGGAAGGTGGCCTCCTGACTCACCTGGACACGTGGCGCCACAGCCACGACCCCCTCAGTCAGGCTTCCTTGAAAACTGGGGGCCGGGCTCGGTGGCTCAGCCTGCAATCCCGCGCCTTCGGGAGGCTGAGTGGATCGCTGAGCCCGCGGGTTCGAGACCCGCCTGGGCAACTTGGCGAGACCTCATCCCTACAATAAATCAAAAATGAGCCGGGCGTGGTAGCACGCGCCTGTAGTTCCAGATACTTGGAAGGCCGAGGCGGAAGGATCGCTGGAGCCCGGCAGGTCGAGGCTGCAGTGGCCGGGAGCAGCCACTGCACTCCAGTCTGGGTGACAGAGTGAGACTCCGACTCAAAAAAAAAAAAAAAGAAAAAGAAAAAGAAAACTGGGGACGAAGTTGCTGCCATCCAGGAGGATGGTGCAAAGGACTTTCCAGCAGGTCTGCTGACCTCTGCCCGGAATCCTGAGGACATCGGGGAGGGGCAGGGGCTTCCCCTGTGGTCTTGTGTAACCCTTGTACCTCTCATTTCGGGGAACTGTATTAAAACCTGTAGCCCTTATGAATAAGGCCAGGCCGCTGGGCGTTGTGGCTCACCCTAGCACTTTGGGAGGCTGAGGCGGGAGGATCGCTGGAGCCTAGGAGTTTGAGAACAGCCTAGACAACGTAGCAAGACCTTGTCTCTACAATAAATAAATAAATACAATAAAGTAAATAAATATGACCACTGCACAGTTCCCCAGGGTACAGGCTGGTCTCACCAGCACACCCCAGTGTCCCGACATAGTTGGTCCCGGCCCAGGATGCAACACCCAACTCTGTGCCACGTGTCCTCCCCCGAGCTTCCCAGAGAACCTGTCCTCAGGGTTGCAGGCCCATAGGGTGCCAGAGGGTGAGTCTGTTTTCACACCACCTTTTTTTTTTTTTTTTTTTGAGCTAGCTAGCTTCTCACTGTTGCTCAGGCTGGAGTGCAGTGGCATGATTACAGTTCACCACAGGTGATCCTCCCACCTCAGCCTCCTGAGTAGCTGGGATTACAGGTACACACCACCATGCCTAGCTAATTTTTTGATTTTTTATTTTTGTTGAGATGAAGTGTCGCTATGTTGCTGGTCTCAACCTCCTGGACTCAAGGGATCCTCCCACCTCAGCCTCCCAAGTAGCTGGGATTACAAGCACGCACCACCACGCCCAGCTAAGTTTTTAAGATTTGTAGAGATGGGGTCTTGCTATGTTGCCCAGGCTGGTCTTGAACTCCTGGGCTCAAGTGATCCTCTTGCCTTGGCCTCCCAAAGTGCTGGGATTAGAGGTGTGAGGCACCACACCCAGCCACACAGCTTCCCTTTATGAAGCAGGGCCACGGGTACCTGGTCTTCTGCTTTTGAGCATCTCTGAATTCAGGCAGTCTGGCATGAGCTGCCCCGGGTGCCACTGTGCTGGGGTCTCACCAGCCTTGCCGAGCGACACTGGGAACCCCCAGTGCCCACGAGGCAGATGCCGGCATGGTGGACGCCCTGCTGGGAGCACCTTGACCCTACTGTGAACATCCCAAGACAAACTCCCAGCAGCGGCACTGCTAGGTGTCCAGGGTCGGCAGCCCCTCGCGGAAGGGCCATGCCAGTCACAACAGTTCAGTGTCTGAGGATGGATGGCAGAGAAACCAAACACGGTGCCCATGCGTAGTGGAATATAATCCAGCCTCAAGAAGAAAGGAGATCCGACTTGGAGTGAGGCCCAAGGATATGCCATGGAGTGAAATGAGCCAGTCCCACCCACAGGAGGTCCCCAGGTTGTCACATCCACAGAGGAAGTGAAATGGAGAGTGCCAGGGCCCTGGGAGGGGATAGGGAGGGAGTGGTTCATAGGGACAGGGTTTCAATTTGGGGTGATGGAAAGTTCTGGAGATGGAGGATGGTGAGGGCTGCATGACACTGTGAATGAGCTCAATGCCACAGGACTATGGGCTTAAAAATGGTAAGTTTTATTTCATATATATTTGTCTACAATAAAAAAAAGCTTAGCTGGGCATGGTGGCTCACGCCTCTAGTCCCAGCGCTTTGGGAGGCCGAGGCAGGAGGATTGCTTGAGCCCAGAGGTTCGAGACCAACCTGTGCAACATAATGAGACCTGGTCTCTATAAAAAAGTAAAACAATTCGCCGGGCATGGTGCATGCCTGTAGTCCAGGCTCCTCGGGAGGCTGAGGTGGGAAGATCACCTGAGCCAAGGACGTCTAGGCTGTGGTGAGTTGTGATCACGCCACTGTACTCCAGCTTGGGCAACAGAGAGAGACCCTGATCTCCCTCCTCAAAATTTAGAAACAAAACCCTGGCTGGGCTCCATGACTCAGCCTGTAATCCCAGCACTTTGGGAGGCCAAGGCGAATGGACTGCTTGAGCCCCCAGGTTCGAGACCAGCCTGGGCAATTGGGCAAGGCCTGGTCTCTACAATAAATAAAAAATTAGCCGGGCGTGATAGCATGTTTCTATCGTTCCGGCTACTTGGAAGACTGAGGTGAACGGACCATCAGAGCCCAGCAGGTTGATGCTGGGGTGGCTGTGAGTGTGCCACTGCACTCCAGCCTGGACGACAGAGTGAGACTCCAGCTCAAAAAGAAAAGAAAAGAAACAAAAACCCCACAGGGGTCCTGTGGTTCCCACACCAACCCCAACCCAGCAAGCGCCACCTTTTGCCAGTTGGCGACTGAGGTGGGATGGATAAACTGTCCACACCTGCAGGATGGTGGGTTTGGAAGCTCCTGAGTCCCGCCGGGTGCCAGTGAGGATGTCATGGACTTAAAAACTGAAATGGGTCAGAGTGTGCAGGCTCTTGTCTCTCCTGGGCTCTGACCTGGGGAATCCTGCCTTGGCCCATGAGACTTGCATGTCAGCATCCCTGTGCTCCATGTGTCACGCGGCTCCTGGGTGCAGGTGTGAGTCCCTGCCACCTCCACAGCCAATGCTGAGTGAGGAAATGTCTTCCACACGTGAGCCCTGACTTCTCTGTGAATATCCATTTAACAGAGGTGGGCCACAAGGCGGGGAGGCTGAGGAGAGAGGTCCAGGCCACCAGCTGTCACTCCTCCTCCTCCACCTCTCAAAGCCAGGGACTGCATCCTAGACTGCTTGGGGAGATGGGGAGGGGGAGGGGAAGGCCCAGAGAGATAGAGACAGAGACACAGAGATAGGGGGACAGTGAGTGAGAAACAGACACAGAGGCAGAGAGACAGGGACTGAAAAACAGACACACACAGAGAGAGACAGAGATAGAGAGAGAGGGACAGTGAGTGAGAAACAGACAAAGAGACAGAGAGACAGGGACTGAAAAACAGACAGACACACAGAGAGAGAGACAGAGACAGACACAGAGAGACAGTGAGCAAGAAATAGAGACAGACAGATGGAGGAACAGTGAGCGAGAAACCAAGAGACACAGAGACAGAGAGATAGAAACCGAGAGACAGAGACAGACATACAGAGACACAGAGACAGAGAAGGTGAGTAAGACAAGTAGAGAGAGACATTGAGCGAGACACAGGGACACAGAGACAGAGATGCAGACACAGAAACAGAGATGCAGACACACACGCACAGAGGCACAGAGAGGGGAAGTGAGAAAGACAGGCAGAGACAGAGAGACAGCGAGAAACAGACAGATGAAAAGAGACAGAGAAAGACTAAGACAGAGAAAGACCTTCCTGTTCTGTCTGAAGTGCTTCCCGCTGGGCTCCTCCAGGAATCGGCTCAGGATCCCCCTCCTCCAGGATGCCCTCCTGGCCTTACCAGGGCAGGTGCCCCTCTGCTCTGCCCACCTGTGCCTGAGTGTCTCCAGCTCTCTGCTTTGCGAGCCTGGGGAACACAGGGCCCGGCTGGACCCTTTCTATTCTGAGTGCTCGTGGACCAGGCTCTGGGGGCCCCTTGGTGACGAGGCACTGAATGCCAAGGGCAAGAAGTTCCTGCTGGGGCAGGTGGCGCAGCTCCTGGCCCTGCAGTTGGCAGAGGTCTGGCTGGTCTATGTCCCTCTCCCCTGTGCCAGTTGTTTTCACCTGCCTGCTTGCCCCTGATCAGGAGGTCCTTGACCCTCTAGACATCCTTGCCTGCCTATGGGAGAGGCCAGACCAAGGGCTGAAGAGGACCAGGTTGGCTGGTGTCTTGCGGGCACCATGCCCTTCCTCCTCCTCATCCCTGCCACCTTACCCCTTCCCCCCTACCTCCATGGCGCCCTCCCTTAGAGGAGGAAATCCAAACCTCTGAGCTCCTGGGCTCTGCTTACCTGCCAGCCTTGTCGTCACATGCCCCAGGCCCCTGCCTCCAAGGGAGCTTGGCACAGGCTATGCCCTCTGCCGTAGACCCCTCCTGGCCCCCAAAGAATCCTACACATCCTCTTCCATAATGGAAAGGGCTAGCATGGGCCGAGAGTGGTGGCTCACGCCTGTAATCCCAGCACTTTGGGAGGCCAGGGTGGGAGGACTGCTTGAGCCCAGGAGTTTAAGACCAGCCTGGGCTACTTGGTGAGACCTCTTCTCAACAATAAATCCAAAATTCGCCGGGCATGGTGGCGTGTGCCTGTAGTTCCAGCTGCTCAGGAGGCTGAGGTGGGAGGATCGCTTGAACCCAGCAGGTCGAGGCTGCGGTGGCCACGAGCGTGCCACTGCACTCCAGCCTGGGCAATGAAGTGAGACTCTGACTAAAAAAAAAGGGGAGGGGGGCCGTGTGATGGCACTCCCTGGATGCAACTGTCCCACTGTGGTCTGGATATGTACCCCAAAAAGCGTGTGTTGGAAACGCAAGCCCTGCAGCATATGCCGGGAGGTGTTTGTGTCTCGGCCTCACAAATTGATTCACGGCCAACATAAAGGGTCTGGGGGCTGAGTTCCGCCTCTTGTTCACTCCTGTCCCCTCCCCACCTCCTTCTGCCTCGGGACAGCGCAACAGGATGGCCAGATGCCAACAACCGGTTCGTGGACTTCCCAGCTCCAGAACTGTGAGCCAGTACGTTTCTGTTCAGTATACAAAGGGGACCCAAGAAAACCCCCACAATTATCTTTTGGAGGGCAGGTCCCTTGTAGGACAAGCTTGCCCTGCCAGATAAGTGTTCTAGGAACCCATCGGCATCTGTGGACCAGCTAGCCTTGTTGTGAGAGGCTGTGTTCAGCTTCAGTGAATTTTTTTTGAGATTCTTTCAGTGTGTTTGCCCATTTCATGATGGGTGATTTATGAGTGCATCTGCCCACGCTGTGCTGCATGTTCAGTGGTGTCTTTTGGTTTTGTTTTTTTACCAAAAACGGCGTGCCCCCTGTGCCCCACCCTCCCTATTCACCCGATCTCTCTCCAAGTGACATTGTTTTTCTCCAGATGAAAGGAGTCCTCAAAGGGAAATGTTTGGCCAACGTGGAAGGGGCGAAACAAAAAACGGCAGAAGCACTAAAAAGTATCAGAATGGGTGAGTTCAAAAACTGTTTTGAACAGTAGAAAGAGCATCTTGATGCGTGTATTACATCAAATGGAGAATACTTGGAAGGTGACTGAAGTTTCAACATGTGAGAACACAAATTTTTGTTTGTTTTTTTGAGTTGGAGTCTCCCTCTGTCGCCCAGACTGGAGTTCAGTGGCCACTCCCGGCCACCGCAGCCTCGACCTGCTGGGCTCCGGCGATCATTCCGCCTCAGCCTTCCAAGTACCTGGAACTACAGGTGTGGGCTACCACGCCTGGCTAATTTTTTTCATTTATTGTAGAGATGAGGTCTCGCCAAGTGCCTAGGCGGGTCTCGAACCCGCAGGCTCAGGCAATCCACTCACCTTGGCCTCCCAAAGTGCGGGATTACAGGCTGAGCCACCGAGCCTGGCTACACACAATTTTTTACTAAAAAATTCTAGAGTTTTTTTGCCCCTCGCCCAGTAAATTACCCAGTATTGGCCCGTGGGGGAAATGGGGAAGACCCCAGAGCAGTGGGCTCCCTCTGGGGCCTGGCCCAGGCAGCTGGAAATGTCCCCTGGACAGGTCCTGGGCTGCAGTGAGGGCGGGCAGGTGGAACCCACGTTTCTGCTTGGCCCACACACACTACCTCCCGGGCCTACTGGGGATCTGGTGACTTGATGTGTGGTCCATCTTCAGGCCCTTATTCACCCATACCCCTCTCTCCTCACCATACCCGAACACGTGGACCAATCATCCTCCCGTGTCACCTCCTCCAGGGAGCCCTCCCTGAGAGAAGCCCCACCAGGCCTTTCTTGGCTGCAGTCTTGGCCTGACTCACACTGACAGAAGGCATGGGCTCTTGTGTCCCCAGCTGAGTTCCCGGGCGTGGGGGCAGGGCGGCACTGACCACGACTGCCCCTTCCCAGCTTTCCCTCTTCCCCCCAGACTAGTGACAGCCCTTTATCGGACAGGCCGACCCTTCACAGCTGTGGGGCCAGTGGCTGATGCATTTTCCCACGGATGCTCACAGGCAGGCAGAGATGGCAGGATGTCCCTCCAGGTTGAGTGAGGTCTGCCTGCTGGGCGGTGGCTGGCGCCTGGTGCTCTGTCTGCCATTCTCTCATCCTGCTGTTCCCTTTCTCCAAGTTCCGGGACCCTCACCCGGGGGCAGTGCCTGGCTTTGCGGGGGAGAGGAGGGACCGTCCGGGGACATGGCGGTCCCTCCTCCCTGCCTGGGCTACCAGCTACCTTGAAGCTCAGGGTCATTGGGAGGGCCCACCTGTTAATTTCTTTTCTTTTCTTTTTTTTAAGTCGGAGTCTCATTTTGAAACCCAAGATGGAGTGCAGTTGCGTGATCAGAGGTCACCAAAGCCTTGACCTCCTGGGCTCAGGCAAGGCTTTGCCTCAGCCTCCCAAGTAGCTGGGTCTACAGGCCTCACACCATACCCAGCTAATTTTTTTTTATTTTGTAGAAATGAGGCCTCACTTTGTGGCCCAGACTGGTATGAACCCTTAGGCTCAAGCAATCCTCCTGTCTTGGCCTCCCAAATTGCTGGGATTACAGGCATAAGCCACTGCACCCAGCCTCCATGTATTTATTTATTTCTCCAGCCTCATGGTGGTCCAGGCCTGTCCACCTAGGTCTTGGGCCCAAGCCACTGCAGTACCCCCTGAGCCTGCCCCTCCTCCCTGGTGCAGAATCCCACCCTAACTGCCACCTGGAGAAAGGTTCATCTTTTCAACAGAGGGAGCTGGAACCATGGGATAGCCACGGGCGAACATTCCCAACAAACAACCCAAAACACAAAAGACACCTCCCTGATCTATATCTGTCATGATATATAACTGTGAACTCGGATCACTGACCTAAGCGTAAAACCTTAGAATTTCTATACTGTACTATAGAATTTCTAGGAGGAAGCATAGGGGAAAAATCTTTGTGACCATGGGTTAGGCAAAGATTTCTTAGATATGATACACATTCAAAGCACAGTCCACAAAAGAAAAAAAATTGGTTAAATTGGGCTTCATCAAAATCGAGGCTGGGCGTGGTGGCTCAAGCCTGTAATCCCAGCGGTTTGGTAGGCCAAGGTGAGGGAATTGCCTGAGCCCATGGGTTTGAGATCAGTCCAGGCAACTTGGTGACACCTCATCTCTACAATAAATCAAAAAATTAGCTGGGCATGGTAGCGTGTGCCTGTAGTTCTGGCTACTTGGGAGGCTGAGGTGGAAGGATCGCCTGAGCCCAGTAGGTCGACAATGGGGTGGCCATGAACGTGCCACCGCACTCCAGCCTGGGTGATGAAGTGAGACTCCAACTCAAAAAAAAAAGACAACCAAGAACGTCTCTTTGGAAAGACACACTGTTAAGAGGCCAAGCCTGATGGCTCATACTTGCAACCCCAGCACTTTGGGAGGCTGAGGTGAGAGGATTGTCTGAGACCTAGGAGTTCGAGACCAGCCTGGGCAACATAGTGAGACCCTGTCTCTATTTTTAAAATTAAAAGTAGGCCAGCCACAAGTGCTCACGCCTGTAACCCTAGCACTTTGGGAGACCAAGGCGAGAAGATCCTTTGATGCCTAGGCGTTGGAGACCAGCCCGGACAACATAGTGAGACCCTGCCTCTCTTTAAAACAAAAACAAAACTAAGAAGAAGAAAATCAAATTAAAGATACTACTAAGAGAATGAAATGACAAGCTACAGACTGGGAGAGGAACCTTGGCAAAGCACATACCCGATCCAGGACTGATACATATACGAAGGCTCAAGGCTCAATAATGAGGAAACAGCACGATTTTTAAAAAATGGTCAAAAACATCTGAAGAGACACCTTGCCAAAGAGGATATGCTGGTGGCCACTGAGCACGTGGGAACCCGCTCAGCCTCATCATTCATGCATTCATTCGAGAGAAGTGCAAACCACAACCTCAGAGACGCCGCCACCCACCACGGGGTTGGCTAAAATGCTAAAACCTGAGGACACCAGGAGGGTGTGCAGCCGCTGGAAGCTGCCCGCTGCTGTGGGCTGTGGCTGCCGCGCTGCGCCAGAGCGCGTCTTGGCAGCGGCTGGAGCCTTCAACAAGCCCGCACCGTCCAACTCAGCACCCTCCTAGGTGTTTACCCAAGCGAGATGAAAACTTCTGTTCACACTAAACCTGTACGTGGAGACTACGGCAGCTCCGCGCCCGATCGCCCCACGCGGGAGGCGCGCCCGGTCCTCTGGCGGCGAGTGGCCAAA